TGCACAGCTGAAACCATAATTTTATCCTTTACATTAAACTTCAGTTTTCCCACATGCTCTTAAACTTCTTGTTTTCAACCTAAAACAGGACCCTGGGCATGAAATAGCAATCCAAAAGTTAAATCACCCAGTTTTTAGTACCATGGGGATTTACTTGACTGAAACCAGCACAATCTGAATCACACCCAAGTTAACTTCTGCTGACATTAATGTCACATTCTCAGCTAAAATTAATCACCAGAAAATATTTTGTCCACACCAATGTTTGTATTGCAAACAATGCAACCAGCTCATGTAGCATAGTGGGGTGCACTTCATTATCTTTTCACCTCCCTGGAAAATGTACTGGAATACAGGCACCCACCAGAGTGTGCCAGTTTTTTGAATCACCTATCCAAGGAGATGGTGCCCTCATGAGATCCAGTCATCCTAAAAATATATGTGACTTTGCTCAGGTAGGGATAAAAACCGATGAAAAGTGTGAAAAGTGGAAAAATTTATAAAGGTTTGTAAGGACAGGAGAAACAGTCACACTTTAATTTTCTGAACCCAATCCTGGAGACTTTCAAAGGCAGGTATTAAGATGACAAACTGTAGATGCTGGGCCTACCCACTTAACCTAATGTGGGTTGCAAGTTCCAGGCTAGGCTGTAGTTATGGAGAGATCCCAGGTGGAAGAAACAAGCTGACTTTCTATCCCCATCCCTTTCTGAATGTGATTTAATGATCCTTTATAAGCTATGTGTCCCCTTTCCCATCTCTCAGGATGTAAAAAGTTGTTTTGACTTTCCCACTGATTTGCTTTTGTCTGCCTCCAGTTTTTCAGCAATGCAAATATCTTCCTGGCAAAGAGGAGATACCATCTTTGATGTTTGATTTAATTACCAGCTGTCAGCACACAAGGCAGGAAAGAGAGTAAGCAAATCTCAGTGCAGAGACTTTCCATACAGAGAACATTTATTTTACATAAGCATGTAAGTCAACTCCCACTCCTCATGGAAACACCTGCCCAAGGCTTCTGCAAGTACCCCAGTGCTTGGTCATTAATTTAGCCCTAAGAACATCATCACAGGACCAGGCCTGGAGGAACTGACACTCAGCTTCATCTTCAAGGTATATACTGACAGCAGTGATCTAAGAACGTAGGTTCCCATTTCAAAGAAACATGGGGTGGGTTTGTTTTCATTTTCCTTTTTTAAAAAATTGAAATACCCTGTTCTTTCTAGGAAGGGAATCTATGTGCTATCTTGTATCCTGATTCTGAAAGACTGAGGTGTTCAATAAAGTATTTTGGATTAACAACATTTAGTCCCTTCACGAAGGCACAATGCTTTAAAATTATTTAAGAATTAATTTTTAATTATTTTTATACAAATCATAATTAAAAATCAATGCAAGCCCAATCATGACAGGACACATTACAAAACCCAAAACAGATTCTCAGTTGTAGCTTATTTAGTTGTCAGGTTTATGCAAAGGAGCCTTATTGCTGGAGTTTGTTCTGGTTCACCTTCAGCCTGTAGCCTGTGAAACTGCTACCTGGTGGTGCTGCCTTGGGGCATTCTCTAATCCAGTGCCACAGACAGTAAGGACAACTAACTGACCAGCTTACAGGCAGGGCATCTCACTCCTTACAACCACAAAATGTCTCCAAAGAATCCCTGATGAAGTTAAAACATTAAGCTTAAACCCCATTTGTCAGATTGTAACATAGAGAAAGACTGATTTGTTTAAAAGTTGCAGTTTTCTACAGCTCCTTTTTGCTGTTACTTTTTTTTTCTTTTAACAGTTTTTGCCCTCTTAACCTTCAAGAGCAGAAGATGCAGCAATTAGAACTAAGTAGAATTAACCAGTAGCAAAATGTATTTTCTTTCCCTTCTGACTTGCAAACATTGAAGTGTTAAAAAAATAAAGAATAAAAAATCTTATCATACTAATTTCCTAGGTAGGTGCCACACTTGTACATTACCTTGTCACTGTAACACATACTTTCAATACCAAGTAAGGGTTATTGCCAAAACCTGGAGACTTCCATGCAGTGCTGTAAGTAAAGAACTTTTTGTTCCTGCAGTTTTGATAATTTAGCTACAGCTCTGGCCTGTCTTACTGTGCAGCTTATTCCAGGTTCATCTTCTGAGCTTACAAAATACCACATAAAAATAGATTATTGTTCTATCTAAATTTCCATAATCCTTGTGCTCATCAAAAATAAAGTCATGTAACTGTTCTTAGTCAGGATTGTACTAATTAGTACAACTGGCACTTCTGACCTTGTGATATCTACCTTTAATACACTCAGGTTGGCTGTGCTGCCTGCATTACCATACACAGCATATACAACACCTCTTTACAAAACAAAGTGCTAGAGAGAGAGATGCAAACCAGAAAATAAAGGTCAGGGGTCTTTTGCATGGTTGTATGGAGTTTCTCCATATCCTAAATCTTTGGCTTGACTGAATATTTTGTATTTATTTTCATATAACCAATATATATATATAACATATAACAAGGGCCACAAATAAAAATCAGAGGGCAACTTTTTATAGATCCTTTAGGGAGACAGAGCTGTTCCCCAAAGAGCTCTTGACCAGTGGCTCTGGTTCAGGTTAGCAGCACGTTGGTTTCTACAACAGTTCCTTGAATCTCAGAGATTTCAGGGAGATACCAGCAGAAGCTTATAAAACTTAACCTGAATGTTAGATCAAGGAAGCAATTTCCCTGTTCTCTCTCTTTACCTTATGGAACAGCTTTATCTGTTTAGTCTTCTTCACTACGCAATAAATCTAAACGAGTGCATTTTTTGTGCAGGAAATTGAAAATTACTGGCAGACTTTTTTATTTTTTTTTTGCTGTAGCTGCTAACATATTTATTGTTTGATTTATATGTGTCACTGGAGTCAGGAAATCACTAATCCATTAATAAATCTAATCCTCTCACCATCAAGCTGTATGGATAAGTATTTAAATAAATTATACTGATAGGGCACTCAGTTCTCTGAATGTTAAAATAAAAATCAGAAGGAACTTAACTATGCAGGTGATGGATCTAGCAGAACAAGATCAGCAATTTAAATAGTTCAGAGAAATACTCAGTCATGGTAGACTGACAGAGGTATATAAAACGAGAAAAGGTCAGGAAAAAAAGCTACATCAGGGTTTGGTTTTTTTTTAAAACCTCTCATAACACAACAGAGAACAACCAACCAATACGAAACCAGAACATTTATAAAGAATGAAGCTTTTTCTGAAAGGAAATGGACTTTTGACAGAGCTTCTAAGTGGCCTGCAGGACTCATTAACCTCCCAAAGCTCAAAAATCATCAGGTCAACAAAAAAAAACCCAAATCCTGACACTGAGGAGGCAAAGTAAAAGCAAAACAAAACAGGGAATAAAAATTTTGGTTGACCAGAATATAAGGCAACTTCTAACGGAAGGGTTAGGAGGAAAATTCCTATATACAGCAAGGTTATTCAAGGCTTGTCCACTCCAGGGATCCTTACACTTTTCCCTGAGGCACTTGTCCTGGCTATTCTGGGTATGAGGATAATGGCTGAGACATATCTGGGGCCTGATTCTCTATGCAGCTCCATTCATCTCTGTTTACATAATAAAGAAAGGCATTTTAATAGTTACTTCAAAGATGAAAATTAGGAAGTATTCTGAAAAATTAGCATTGTATTTATTGCTATTTCTTGCAAAATCAGGGTTTGTAAGCCTAGAGCGCAAAACAGAAACACTGCATTGAAACAGTAAAAGCATAAATGAGGAACTTGCATCTAGCTACTAATAAAATTAAAAGTTTCATAGACTTTTGGGCCAAAGCCCATCAATTATTTAGTCGTGTTACCTGCATAATGTAGGTCACAACCTCCCACTGTAATTAGGCTAAATAGTATCTACTTCTATTTCAGCTCTGTAATAAAATATTTAAGACATCAGTTCTGATTTCAAGAGTTGAGGAATGGAGAACCAAACACATGCCCAAGCTGGGGTTTTCCCTCCCTTCCTCATCCTGAGCTTGGCTTTATTCTGCACTGAACTGCTGCATATTTAGTAATTTTTTCCCAACTGGATTCCATGACACCTGCTGAGTACACCTGATCTGTACAGAACATAATGGTATTTTACTTAACTCTTGGATAAACTAAGCAGACTAGACTCTCTTCTTTCACTTAACTAAATTTTTTCAGATTTCCTTTGTAGCTGTAACTGGCTCAGTTTGGGATCTTTTAGAGTTTGTGTTGGTACAGCTTCACTTTGTGTGTGTGTTGATCTTGATCTAGATCCTTCTCTCAGCACAACAGAGAGACTTGTGTCAGGTATTATAGGCAACCTTAGGTAACTGCCCTCAAATGCATGTCCTTCTGTCCACTTAGCAAATACTTAGTTGCCTGCAGAACACACTGATGTTCTGAACCTTTAGGTAGCAGCTGCAGTGCAAACACAAAACATCAAACCCCATCTTATCAGTGTTACTGTAGGGGAATTGCTGGAGTAGGAAAACCCATCAGCTACAATCTTAAGTGACAATGGAGTCAGTACTGAATATTGGAATAAACAGAAGTGGGAGAAAATTTATTTGACAGAAACTAATCCAGCACTAGTTAAGCAGCATTATTTCAGCAAATATTACTGCAGGCTTGTGGGCAATTAACAGAGCTTAGTTTTAAGACTCTACTAAATATTAAATACTATTTATATCTATTTTTGTTGTTAGTTTTGGCTTAGAACCTTCCTCAAAAAACAATCCCACCCTAGTTATAGGATACAAGGTTCAGCTCTGGAGGCTCTTAAAATTGTGCTTGTCAGGCGAGGTCCTCTAAGTCACTGGCTGTGGTGTAACAGCAGAGCATTGCATATAAAATGTTCCACTACTTTTGCCAGCTGCAAGAGACTATTTAGTCAGAGCAGTGGCAAAAAACCCCAAACACCAACCCAAAACCAAACCCAAGCCATCAGTTCTGTTCTACGGATTTTAAGTTTGCCATTTTCAATGCAGGAAAATTACCGTCTCGTCCAGTGGAGGGAGTTTTCTTTCTTTTCCTGGATGCACATCCTGTGCACTTGAAGACAGAGGTGCAGAAGGACAGCCCCTACCTATTAGTTCTGGGTTTCTTCCCTTCAAATACTTGCTGATGAGCAAGACACCGTGTGTAAGCCTAAGAGAAACACAGAGATAGTGGAACACAAGAACAACAACAAAAGCATCTTTGGTGTTTCTAAAAGTGTGGAGGGAGAAGAAAATTCACCCTGGGGGAAAGCACTGGCAGGTGTGGGTTTCACAGCACCACTGTACCTGTCACCTCCTCCTCACGAGAGATGTGTGCAAGACAAAGGGAACAGCCTTGCTGAGGGGAAGTGAGGGTGAGACAGAAATTAATCAGCAGGAGTGTTTAACACCATTGCATCTGAATCTGAAGTTTTGGCTTCTAGCATCTTGTGTGATGGTGTCTGCTCCTTGAGTGGATAAAAACCACTTAAGATTGTGGGGCAAAGGGGAAAAAAAGAAGGTCCAGAGTGTAGCAAGCCAACGAGTTAGAGAGCCATCGCTCAGAGCTGGGAGTGTGCAGTTCCACCAAAGGAAACAGCTGGAAGGAGCAGTGAGCAGCCAGCCACCCCTCAGAGGTGAAGAAAACCTTGCTAAGAGACTGAGTAGTGTTTTATTTCAGCTCAAAGCCAGCCAGCTATGCCGAGCCTGGAAACAACAAGACTCTTGGGAGAGAAACATTGGTTTAGAAATTCTTCTCTTCCATCTTGCCTAGCCATTTTGAGTCTATATTCAAAATACGGTCTCACTAATGCGCAGAGGGAAATCCTACTAATGTCTGTTCCTACTTGGTCTATTTACTTAAAGGGTTAAATCTGCCCTTTTATTTATTTCTATGTCAGTGTCTTCTGGGATAATTTCTCTTCCTGGGAGACATCTATTCCTTGTGGCCAGATGAACCTTCCTTTTGATCAGTATCAAACACACACTTTACTAAGTGATTTAGGCCACTCAGCAACTTGTCCTCATTAATAACAAATTGGTGGATCAAAATAATTGTATTTTATTTCATGTCATTTATGAAAATATTGTACATTGTTGAACAGATCTGCAGAACTAGTCCACTGCAAATGAAAAACTTCCTCTCCAAAAGTAATTTAGTATAAATTGACCTTTTAGTTTTTCCCCTTCAGATTCTCAAGTGAGATTACAAAACCCTCAACTATACTCTGTTATGCAATAATCAATTCTGCCATACAATAATCAGCCACATTTGCCATCTCATCAAGTTTAGTCTTGTAGTTTTGTTTAGCAAAGCCAGAGTTGCTTTTTCCCAAAGCCATGAGGTTAGCTTATTATTTACTCACTGCATAGACCTAGAGTTTGATCTTATTGATCCCTGTCACAACATCCACTTTTTTGGAACTTTCCCAGTTTTCCAAGGTAAACTTAAAAATCATGTCATCACCATTCAGGGAGCTCCTTACCACTTTAGTGCTCATAAATCCACTATCTGTTCTTGTCAGACTTATTACTTGCACAATAATGTCATTTACAACAAACTTTATGATTTATTTTTAAGCAAAAATATCAGTAGCCTTTATAGAGCTGCACTAGATGCTACCACTGCTGCTCTGAAATTCCTGATGTATCACTTCTCCAAACTCATCGAGAAGTCTTAGGCAAACCAACTGGCTAACTTGGTACAAAACTAGATTGACATTAGAAAGGACAACCAAACCAAGAGACTTCTTCCTTATTCTACACAGAACCTAAAGATATATGGGAAGTTTAAGTACTAACAGATTCAAGACATATAAAGATATTAACAGGAAAGCCTTTTTTTACAGGAGATACCTTTTCTTTACTTTTGAGATCAAAGTAACTGCTGCATGTAACCATGTCTGACCATCTCAGGTGCCCATTTTTATCCACACTTTGGACTCGTGGCACACAGTGAGCCCCACTCTTCTGTTCTGCCCCTTACTCTGCAACTTCTTTCAAAAGGAGCCTCCCCTTTACAATCACCTAGAAAGTTACGCACTCTCCACACCTCTATTTTAGAGTATATCCAAAGCTCACAGCAGCCCTCAGGGAGGAAAGGGGAGAAGAAGGGGGAAAAACACCTGGAACTGGAACTCAACTGCAGCAATTCCCCCATGCCCTAAGCTTACCCGTAGCAAGCCTTTCAGTACCTTTCTCAGGGTGAATTCAGTATCTTTCACGGGATGAATGTCTTTTGCTAAACCAAGACGAAATTGTTCTTTGTAAACCAGAGTAAGCACGACCTTTTTTATTTGTTGTCTCAGCTGAAATTAGTGATATTTATAAATGAAGAGCATCCTTTCAGAAAAGCTGTGACAGTTACCAGAACAGTAAAAATACAATAGAGTCCTGAGAGATAAAAATTTATTTATCTGATCAGCATGTCATGATATGGTCACAACTCATACAGCTGACATTCTCATAGCCAAAAGAGGGATGTTTTTTCTTTTTAAAAATACATTTTTCTTTCCAGCAGGAAGGATTTTTTAAAACAAACATTTCATACTAGGCAGGAATTAAAAACAATGGCTTTTTCAATATGACAACACCGCTGGTAAGCACTGGATCCTCCACCAGTGTCTTAATATTGAGATTTCAAGTTTTCCTTCCCACTCCCCGATTCCCCCCACCCCTCACAGAAAAACACCACACAGAAAAACAAGACAAAACCCAGAAGGGAAACAAAGAGGTAGACGTCACTACAACCATGGCGCTGTTTTGGAAATTGTGCAAGATGTCTCATGATGCTCCAAGGAGTTCCTTTTTCCTTTATTACATGTTGCAGTATTGCAGACCAGCAGTTAACACAAAAGGTGACATGGAGCTAAGAGCTATTGTTAGGGAGAGATGCCAGGGCCACAGAATGAATGGTGCTGTTCCACTTGATATTGCTTTGCCTAGCTAGAGCTGTTTAAAAACAGATCACTCTTTAAAAATACACGTATCTCACAGTAATTACGGACTTGCTCGCAAGGAGGTTGGAGTCACATCATTTTAGGATGGTGGCAATGCAGGGTCGATGGGGTCTCAGGTTCTGCTCTTGGCATGCCCTCAACTCAGAAACTTTAAGATTCATTGCTACACAGTGACTTGCAGAGAAATTACACAGCCTGAGCACCGGCACAGCTTCCAGAGGGCGCTGGAGTGAGTGAGGGCAGGGCTGCAGAAGCTGCTTTCCCCTCTCTTCCCTACTGCTCCACTCCTGCCCTTACCACTTTTGGCATAGAAACATTTGTCTCTCTGTCCTTCCTCATGAATGTTCTAATAAACAATGTTATCTATCACAAATTAACACTGCAGCTGTGTAGTGAACCAAAGTGTTATTTTACTATTTGTTGTGTTTATGGTAAGCACAATAAAGGGTGTGTATCTATTAGTTATAAGCACAATAAATATAACCAAAGAAAATCATCTAATCTATTAAGGATTAGAAGCATATGAAATAATCTTGGAAAAAAAAAATCAACCACACACACAAAAAAGAAGGAAAAGAAACCTTATAATCTTCACATAGAAATGCTGCTTCTGGTATCTGTCTACATTTCTGAAAGACATCTTGGCTGCTGAAAAGATCTTATTAAAAAATCCAATGAAATAAATTCAGCAAAATAATTCCAAACATAACCCACCCTTTGCAGAACCACTGACAGTCCCTCCAGGCTTCCACATCCATTTTATCATATGAAACAAAAACACAGGTAACACAGGAGGGAAGGAGAAAATTGGAGGAGAAAATAACTGGTACAAAAAAAACCCTGTTCATCATACAATATGAACATCATGGTAGAGTAATTTTAAGGAACTAACTCACTTTAATAGGACAGCTGTTCAGTGAATAATGACTTCATTATCCCATGATAAAACAAAAGGTCTAACTTTAAAATGCTTAGAATCCTTTCAATGACTTATTTTGTATCACAGCCAGGTAGTCTACAGTTTTTACAGAAGAAGTAGAGCTGCTCAGAAGCATTCATAATGTATGCAGACATTTTAAACCAGAGTACAGTTTCCATTTGCTCTTCCAATTGTTGTTTTGAGGTTTTTTTTAAAGAAGTGTAAAAACTATCAAATATGCAATTTTGCAAAACAACCCTTTATTTCATATGGCTCCATTATTTCCAAACAATACAGAATCCCAGATGTATAATTATTTAATGTGATTGTTTCAGATCACCACAAAATCTCCAGCTGACTGTCAAGAGAATGCACCCAACCCTGGGCTCATGACTTGGAAATCCCAGTTTTAAGTACCTTTGGTCCCAAAATTTTGTCAAGGCAAAGCGGAGCAGTTGAATCCTGTCACACACAGTGATCGGTATCTGTTGTTGTCTTGTACAAACAGGTGAAAAAAGTTAACAGCACTTTATGGCAGTGTCAGACAAAAAAAAGTTAGATCATTTGCAAACCAAGTGAATAATCAACAGTACCACAGTGATGCCTGTATTTTCACTGCAATACAATTTTTGCATCTTATTTTTGATGGTGGGGGTGGAGGAGGGAGAGGGAAGCTTTTAATTTTCCAGTAAAGCGAGTCGAACTGAAATCTCACTTTTCAGCATCTGCTGAGAGCAACTTAAAATAAAAATCCCTCCTGCAAGAGACACCATAGTTGCAAAACTAGACAGAACCATACATGGAGTCCAAGTACACCCACAATGAAGGCACACTCACCCCAGGGCACTGAAGAAACACTGCTCTGTGTGGATGGGCAGATGCTTTTCGCATAATGAGAATTCAAAGAGCAGCAAAGCTAAACCATGAGGACTTACATAATTTTCAATTGTAACAACTTGTTTATGAACAATTAAATGTAGAAATGTAGAGATGTTTTGTGTGCAACCCTGGCAGAGAATCACCTTTATTTGCAATAAACTCAAATTGCTCTGTTCTCACTTTGTAGCTTTCAGTTAGCACTTTTTTCTGTGAATTTTTCGTTCTTGATAATTTTATACATTTTTCTATTATTTTTCCTCTTAATATAAATTCAAACTTATATTCATTTGTGATCAACTGTATGGTTCATTAACATAATTTCCATCAAACACATTTTGAACTTTCCAGAGGAGGAAGGCCCATGGATCGTGCAGCAAAATGCCCACTACATCCATAACACCAGCCAACTGCCAGAAGGTAGAACTGAACTGCAACCGACAGGAATTCATGTTTTACAAAGTAGCCTGCTAAGCTCCACACAGTCTGGACCAGCACCGTATTTACAGCACAGAATTTCCTAGACATTGTATCCACTTTAGTTTTTCCCTTCATAGCAAAACTTCAATCCAATTTATTCTCTTTCATGAAGCAGCATCCGAGATCACACTGGGAGGGTACTTTGGAGTTGCTTAACAATGGTTTTGTTTCACTGTCATCTACAGCAACTCAACCATGAGGAGACACAAGTCAGGTGCTCTTCACATTTTCCAGTGCAGGCAGGAAAGAAGCCTAGGACCTAAATACTATTTACTCACCCTACTGAAACAACTGAAATCAGTGCTTGAAAACAAAGTAAGAACTATAGAGGAACAAACTGAAAATGAACAGGACCAGATAAATCTTATCTGAAACGTTATTGCGCATTACTAATTCCTTTAGGCAGCACGTGAACACTTGCTATTGACTGCAACCCACTGGGAAAAAATAAAAACACTGCTTTTGAAAAAACAAGATGCTCTTAAAAGGAGTTCACAGCGTCTGTAAAGAACAATCTCCTGATGTGAGTAACTGCTGTGCAATCTGCTTATATAAACTTCCCTTTTTATATCACTCCAGTCTGTCCTAGCTCAAAATAAAACGAGCTGTACTATGGCCATCTGTGGTTCTGATGAAACTACCTGGTGGAGGACAGTAGTAAGCAGCTTGCCACCTGTGTTTTGCAGTTTTAAAGATTCAGTCCCACATGCAGCAGAAATAACCACTTACAGGGTAATGCTGCTGGGCTGCCCCAACACCCTCCTGTAAAATAGCAGATTAAATACATTCATTCCATCAGCTGGACTTAAGCAAGAGCAACACAAAAAACCAAATACTCCTCAGACTGCCTCCCTGTCAGGGCATACCTACCTCTTTTTAATGGATTTTACATTACACCAGAATTGAGGTGTAAAGAGATGGTATTTAGAAACAGTATCTTGCCTTAAACAATGAAGCTATTGGCAACTAATATCTTTTGCCTCCAGGCTGCACTGGTGCAGCTACGCTGCTACATTTGTGAGGACAGGGGTGGCATATTTGACAAGGTATTTTTCCACAAAGCCGGGGAAATTGGCATTGCCTCGTGTTTTGGTGTGCTCTTTGCTCCCCCACAGAAAGGGAACACTGGCTAGGTTTTGTATGCTGCACACCACCTACTGTGATTCATGTAGCAGCAGAGGGAGTGAGAAGGGGAATCAATATTGCATGCTCAGAGCCAAAACTACTGAGGGCTTACTTTGTTCTCAACAAAATTACTCTGTAAAAGGCAGTATGCCAACATCTGAAGTTCTGGCTACCCTGCTTGTATTTAGACAGATTAGTTTTATTTTAGGAACAGTTCTCACAAATCTCTGTATAATCACATAAACACAATGCCAACACATCACAGACATCCTTTCAAAAGTATCCTGTGCTACACATCTGAAAGTGTCTTCTGTTCTCATTTGCCCTTCAGTTCAACTCATCTTCTTTCAGTAAGATTTTAGCACAGTGGTGAGCTAATTAATACTGCCCTCCATGTAGTTATTCAGAATAATTACCATACTTTTTTTTCAATAGTATCTTCCTATAGATTTATGATAGCAATTATACCTATATTTTCTTTTTAAGAAACTAGTTTTTCTTCTATTACTCCTTAGCAAAACATTAAGATGGTTGGCATTGAATTATTTAAAAACTCTCCCACAAGTATATTTAGCGCTGTTGCAATTAGCAGGGAGAAAAAGGCCTCTATAAACCACCCAAAGGTCACCTTGGTTGGACTGCAGTATACAAAATACAAAGGTGGCTAAAAATCCCCAGCAGCACCAGCAGACCTTCAGCAACAGCTAGAATTGCTCTGGCTTCCAATGTGTGACAAATAAAGCTTTCTTCTATTCCCTAAGTTTAATGTCTTTCCTTCACTGTATTTTTACCTTTAAAAGTGCATTTTCAAAACTGATGACAATCACTGAGAAGCATTCTGAACAAAGAGGGAAAATTAACCAAGTGACTTTATATTTTCCAAGTTTCCTCACAATACGAGATACTGGTAGCACACGGAACTGGGAGAG